ACTTCTCTCACAGCCCTGAGGTTGTCATTAAGTCCATTTACAGAGGAGGAAACTAGGGTTGCAAAAATTATGCAAGTTGCTCCTTAGGGGCAAAGAGGACACAACCCCAGGCAGGCTGCCCGGCCCTTGCATACAACATTGCTGTCAAGCTCTGAGGTACAAGAGTAGTCAGGGCAGACTCCATGGAGGAAAGGGCCTAGAGTGGCCCTCGGTAAGCCATGAAAGCCCGGATCAGCTTGGAGAACCCATTTCCTGTACAAGTTTAGAAGTCCTGGAGCAGGGCTGGCCCCACTCAGGGTCCCCACCAGCTCTCTGAGCGCGCCTGTCTCCTCTCTCTCCTCCCTACACTGAGATGACACTCACAGGCAGTCAGAAGAGCTGAGCATGGGGCTCAAGGGAGGAGGAGACGCGGGGCAGCTGTGGCCTCCTGGCCCGCAAATGGGTGCACAGTGCCGGGAGTAGAGCAGGCCCCGGAGCACGGCCGGCCACTCAGTCCACAGCTATGGAGGCCGGAAGGAGGTGAGTGGATGCTGAGACCCACAGTCAGAGGCTGACAAGCCCAAGCATTTAAGGGAGGTCTAGGATAACCTTGACCTTGGGATGTAGCAGCAGCCACAGACACAGGATGTCAGCAAGGGAGGTCTGAACCTGGACAGGCCCACCTGGAAAATCCTGACTCCCCAACACCTGGGTTTCCCCTGGGGAAGGTAAAGATTCGCCCACAGCATGCATAACCCATCTGAAGTACCAGCTTTGTGCTCAGAACTGGACTCTCACTGCCGCCGCCCACACCACACACCCCCACCGCTCCTCAGGCAGTTTTAGAACAGGTGTCATCAACCTGCTACAGCAGGCAAGTGAGGCTGCTTATCACCCCCTCTTTTGCACTGCTGTAAGGGCTGCTGGTCTACCTTGCCAGGGCAACCGGGGTGCCCCCTGCTCTGAGGCCCGCAGGAGAAAGAAGGCACTGTACAGAAGGACTATGCTGCAGGCTCTCTTCCCCTGGAAAATGAGGAAAATGAGCTCAGGAAACTCTGGGCCTCAACTTTGCTATCTGTGGTTCCCTTCCCTCCCTCAAAAATGCCCCACGCAAAACTAGGAAAAGGGAGAGAAAACAAAATATGCTCACCCAGACTTAACCACTCAGAACATTAAAACCAAAGCCCTTCTTTCATGCTGGCTGTGCCTGGGGATGCACGTGTGTACATGTGCTACTGTGACCTGCAGAAGGGAAGACAGACATCCGTGGTGCCCCCACGGACAGAGGGTCAGTAGTGACAAAGCCCGCTTTCCTACCAGCAGGGCAAAGGCTCCGGCATCGGCACAGGGCATGTGTTGGGGACACCCTCTCTTCACTGTCTCCCTTTACAGCTGTCAAGCTTCAGGTCGCGAGACAGGAAAAGCAGAGAGGGCTGGGATGGCATCAGGTAGGGACATTTAGGTTCTGGATTCCATCACCTAAGACAAGCCTTGCTCTCTGAGAGGACAGGCTGAGTGACAGCTCTGCACTCAGAAGGCAGAAAGAACCCAACGCAGGGTCTGGCAAGCTGAGCAGGAGGGGGAAGGACGACCCTAGAAGCCCCAGAAGGTAAGGAGGAGGGCACAGGCTTCTGGAGCAGATCAGGGAGCGGTTCAATAGCAATGAAATGTCCATGCCTTACCAGAGTCCCAGGGACAAGAAGACGGATGAGGGAATAGAGGGGCGACCATGGTGTCACTGCCCTGCCCCTCGACGCAATTCAGACCACACCAAGATGGCCTGGGCAACCTGAGCGGCACAGGCACTGACGGGGCAGCCAATCCTTACTCTTGCCTGCGGTCGTGGGCACATCTGCCCTGGATAAACTTCTGATACAGTAGCAAGCAGTTTTCTGAGGCACAACCCTCTCCGGGCACAGACTGGACTGAGTTCCCACTCCTGGTCAGCAAGGAAGAGGTGCCTCCCTGGGGCCAGGCCTGCTGCCCCGCCCCATCTTCACTGCCACCCACACAAGGACATCAGGCAGCCACTGCCACAGAGGGGGACAGCGCTCTGTGCAGGACACCGCCCTTGGTGGGCAAGTCGTCCCCAGGCAACATGCTGCATACCAATGCCCAGTGAATGCCAGGCCTGAATGCAGCAAAGACCAAGACGAGACAAACCTCTGCCCTCATGGAGCTCATGTGAGCAGGGAGGTGGGGAAATACAAACTGTGTCGGGGAAGAATACAAGGTGAAATGGCGGGTGACTGGTGTAGAGTGGAGAGGCAGAAACCGAGGCAGAGCAGCCAGGGAGAGTGCTCTGCAGAGGGCACCTGTGCAGGAAGCTTGGCCCACTGGAGGATCGCTGTTCTCAGCAGAGGAACGGAAAGTGCAGAGGTCCTGGGCCTGCTGTGAGGAAGCCCTGCAGCCTGCTGGAATCTCCTGCAGAAGCGGATGAGGTCACAGGGACTGCAGGACAGGTGCAGCGGGACCTGAGAGGCTACAGAGGGACACTGGGCTTTCCTCTGAGATGAGAAACCACAGGGAGGTTCTGCGTGGAGGACAGACGTGGTCTGACTGACACTTCCATAGGATCGCCGCTCTGCTGAGTACTCTAGAGAATGCGGAACACAGAAGCAGGGAAACCAGCTGAGCAATGCAATACTCCAGGGAGTAACGACTGGGGGCTCGGACGGGGTGACAAGAGTGGTGAGAAGTGCCTGGATTCGAGAGACGTTTGGTGGCAAAGGTGCAAGAATCTGCTGACAGACTACATGCAGACCAGGCAATGGAGAAGGCACGGACAACTGCAAGGGTCCTGCCTGTACAGGGGAAGGGTGGTCCCCACTGACATGGGGAAGAGGGCAGGACAGACAGTTAGGGGATGGATGGGACGGTTTTGTGTCAGGAGTATCAGGCACGCAGATGTCTGAAATCCAGGGCCAACCCTCCTGATTCTGGATTAAGTTGTACCTGCACTCCACCTACCCCTACCTCTTGGTCTTCCCTGGGTATCAAGGAGGCGGATGTAAATGAGAGAGGATCTGAGGGAGCATTCATTGTGTGAGACAGCTTCCATGTGACCATTCATGCTGCTCTTGAATACCCTAATACTCTCACTATTAACACCTGGTACCACTTACTACACATTGGTCACAGGAAAGGGGCTATTTATACGGGTTATTTCACATAACCCTAACAACCCTATGAGACACAGATGATGATCAGCTCCCCGTCATGTGGACCAGAGAGGCCATATAACATGCTGAAGGGCACAAAGCTCATAAGGTAAGCCTGTATCAAACCTGACTCCCACCACTAACCTGCACCCCACCACACTCTCTTCCCAACAAGACCAGAAAAAGCCAGACTCACCACTTCCTGTCCCAGTGGACAGCAGAGCACGTGAGCAGCCATCCCCTCGCCAGTGACAATGCTCAGCTGACAAGGGACGTCTAGGAGCCATGACTGAAGGGCTGGGAAGTGGCCCTGATGAGCGAGTACCTGCTTATGGCTAGCACTCGGCACTAGGGTGGAGACCGCCTCAACAGTGGGCAGGAAGAAAACGAGCATCAGAGTGACCACTCCAGTCACCTCCACGCACCTCAGCCCCGCCCTCAGCCTCCAGTCCTGGCTCGGACCCTCTGACCTGGACACACCTCCAGGCCCCCTCAGCAAGGTCCAGCCCAATCTCGGGAACGAGCTAAGGAAGCCCCCTCCCCCGTCTACAGAAAGCGGTGGGAAATGAAACGAGACAATAAAGCTTCTGGAATCTGTTCGTGATTCGAACGCTCAAAAGAACTGCACATGCTGTCCCTCCCCCGCTGCGCCTGAAGGCCACGTCATCCCCCAGTGGCCACGTTCCGCTCATCTCAGTTCGAGGTAAGCTGAGGAGTCAGCCACAGGAAATCACAGCTCTGGAAACAGCCGGAGCTTGTGACATAAGCAGGAAGGTGACATGACACCCGGCTGGACAGGTCAGGGACATTCTGTCCATAAAGGCCAAACAGGGCAACCACAAGGAAAGGGCCTTCCTGCACCCCTCACCGCCACCTTCCTATCTGCTCAGTGGGCTTGAAAATCACTGGCCACCAAGGTGACTCAGTCCCTCACCCACCATGAGGCAGCAGGACCACAGGGCTAGGGCACACAGTGACCCAGGACCAGGGGAGGGATGCAGAGTCAGAGCTGCATGGCCCAGGGCACTCTGTGCCTTGGCCACCCCTCACGGGTGACCAGGGACAAGTCCTTCTTCAGAGCCTCATCTGTACACTTAGGCTCATGCCTGGGTGTGGCCTGTGTGGCAGAGCTGGCTATGCCCAGCACCCAGACGGCCAGGTGCTAAAGCTCTTTGTAACCACCAGGCAGCTGCTGGTGAGTGATGCCTGCACCCTGCTCAGGCAGCCTGGGCCCTTCCCTTCAAGTCTTCCTAATCTTTTCCCTCCTTCCACCCTACTCTTCATCCCTTCCCTGCTCCTCCTATTGAAAACACAAAGCAACACACACACACACACACACACACACACACACACACACACACAGAGAAAATTAATTTAAAAAGCAAGTGCTTGCCAGGCAGAGTAGACTAGGAGGCTCACGCAGGAGGATTATACGTTTAAAGCCAGCCTGGGGAACTTAGTGAGACCTACAGCAATCTCAAAGTATCATAATATAATATAAAAGAAAGCCAAGCATGGTGGTACGTGACTCTAATCCCAGCACTCAGAAGGCTGAAGCAGGATGATCCCTGCAAGTTCGAGGCCAACCTGGGTTACACAATGAGTTCAAGGCCAACCTAAACTATGTAGTGAGACCTTGCCTCAAACCTCCCCCTCCAAAAAATATACATATCAGACAAGACAATACAATATAATATGGGCTGGGGTTTTATAGCTCAGCTTCCTTAATATGCATGAAGCCCTGGACTCAACTCTCAATACCATGAAGAAAGAAAAAAGCAAGCACTTTACCTGCATCCCTGTCCATTACAGTTAACCACTCTCCGGGCCCTTGAGCGGCAAAAACCATACCTACCTTCACACAGTCCAGCACTGGCTTGGGTCCAACAAGTGAGCACACCAGCCGCTCAGCCCGGGGAGTACTTGTAGTTGACAGCAGGAAGGAAACAGTAGGAGGGAGGAGTGGACATCAGTGTTGGGCTAGGCTGTCCGGGAAGGTGACACCGTCAACAGAAGCAGAGAACTGAAGGTCACCGTGACCCACCAGACTGAGCGCGCTAGAGAAGCCTCATCCCTGAGGGCGGCCTGCAGACCCTCAGAAACAAGTCCGGAGCCAGGGAGAAATTTTCTGGCCAAGCCAGTCCACTTGGGAGTCATTCCACTGAGCCTGGAGGAAGCGAGTGACAAGCCAGGGTCACTGGCTGGTAACGTGAAGCCCTCGGGTAAGAAAAAGCAGAGGGGAAGAGGGGTGGATCCCGCGCTTGCTAAACAGTGCAGGGCAGAATTCCAGGAAGTAGACCTGGGGAGACAGGAGAGAGAGTAAGAATTTCTGGAAGGGACACAGAATGCCCTGGGGAACAAGAGGAGCTTGAGAACCAGCGCCCAGAAGCCGGGGAGGCGGGTGTGGAGGGAGTCCACGGGCAGGTCCCTCTCACCAGCGCAGGGAGGACCTAGGAGACAGAGAAACCTTGATTCAGTCATCTGGAAGGCAGAGAGATTCTGCCAAGAAGCCAGTGAAGCAGGAAACTGATTGGCCTTGGCTTTTCCACCAGGGAACGGGACGGCTTGGATGAGATCAGAAAAGCAAAGGTGCGCCTGGCAGGATGTACCGTGCTCCCAGAGCGTGAGGCCAGGCTCTGCTCCCCAGGAAAGGAGCCTGAGCTGGAACCTGAAACAGAGCAGGCTGCCTGCCGTGGGCTCCACTGCCACAGACGGAATCGTACAACACCCAGTGCTTAGCAAGCCCCAGCCCGCTGTAATTAACTGCTAATTGGAATTAAACTCTAAAATCCAATCTGTCTCTCACAAACTCTTTAAATGATTGGGACTGAAGAGTCCCTCGGGGAAAAATAAAAGCACAATTATCTTTTTCTATGAATTCTTCTTCTGCGGCCACAAGAAGCAGAATCTACAACTCTGAGCAGCCAGCGGGCCGGCTTCCCACCCAACACATCCTCTGAGTTAACCTCCACTTACACAGCACCCGTTGATGTTTTGTTTTGCAGTACAGGGCCGGGGATACAGTACAAGGGCAAGGTCCTGAGTTCGATTCCAGGTACAAAAAAAAAAAAAGACTGTTTTGCAGTACAGGGGATCAAACCCAGGGGTGCTCCACCACTGAGCCAGATCCCTTTTAATTTATTTAAGACTGGGCCTTGTTAAGTTATCCAGGCGGAACATGAACTTATGATCCTCCTGCCTCAGCCTCCCTAAATCTTGGGAGGATACTTGGTGTGGAGTTTTGCAAACAGTGGCCTTGCTGGGATCCTTGATGATGTTTTGCAAAAAGGACAGCTGTGGGACTGGGGATATAGCTCAGTAGCATAAAGCACCTGCCTGGCAAGCGCAAGGTCGTGAGTTCGATCCCCGGTACCGGGAAAAAAAAAAAAAAAAAAATATGTTGTGGGACTGGGGATATAGCTCAGTAGCATAAAGCACCTGCCTGGCAAGCGCAAGGTCGTGAGTTCGATCCCCGGTACCGGGAAAAAAAAAAAAAAAAAAAAAAGTTGAACAAAAAGGACAGCTGTGCACAGCCCCCTGCAGAAATCCACTCAGGGTCCAAGCATCCCTCTCTGTCACACTCACAGCAGGGTATGACCTGGGTTGCAGACCCACAGCACCAACACACTCAAGCAGGGAGAGGCCTGTGCCAGCCATACCCCAACCCTACCAGATCAAGATGGCACGTCTCAAGTATCTTCTGCCTAAGACCCTAAGCAAAGCGTCTATGTTCCACCTTCACACCTCGTATCCCTGAGAATCCAGGTGCTCTCGTTCACCTCCAGCTGAGTGCATGACAATCATGTTCTCCCAGCTCAGAGAGCAGGCCCTAGTCATTCTCCCACCAAGTACGGAAGCTGGGTGTGGGGATGTACGACTGTGATTCCAGCACTCGAAGAGGATGAAGCAGGAGGATCACTACCAGTTCAAGGCCAGCCTGGGCTACACAATGAGTTTAAGTCTAGCCTGCGCTACACAGGGAGACCTTGTCTCAAAAAAAAGGAAACAAACAAATTCATGATAAGGATCCCCCCGCCCCAGCCTGAGCAAAATCTGGTCATGCAGTGTCTTCAGATTGCCCCAAGTCAACCACAGGAAATGGGGAAAGAGACGAGAGAAGCATTTCAAATGCACGAGAGGATGTGGGTTATCTTTTACACAAGGACAGTCCTCAAGAGGCAGCCTCAATCTTGAGTAACAAGAGAAAATATTTCCTTATTTTGTGTAGAGAGAAAAAAAAAACAAAATCCACATCCACAACCACAGAGGGCAACACGTGGAGACGACGTGGGCCAGCCCACGAGAACCCCAGTGTCCCCGCAGCGCCTGGCCGCTGGCCATCTGCCGGGAGTCCTGAGGGCAAGAACAGGCCCAGCCTCTCCCAAAGTAGGCCCAAGGCCTGCGTGACCATGCCTGTTGTCCCCTGCCCCATGCTGAACAAACGGCGACGATCTGAAGTCAGGGTTAGATCAAGGTTATCTAAGACGACGTCAGCCTCTCAGAGCCTCAGGGGCCCCTATGCCATTCAGCCCTGACATTCTACAGATGTCCAGAGCAGGCCCAGCTCAGCCACGTCCACGCGTGCTGGGGTCAGCACCAGGAGTTAAACACCTCAACTCCGACAGGCATGTCACAAGGAAGGAGGGAGCACCCTAAGGGAGTACCCTACAGTAAAGGCAGGAGCGCTGACCCCTTCAGGGAGGGAAACTACCCCCAAGCCAACACCTGGACACCTTCTGCTGGCTGTGGGACCCACAGGGGACAATCATCCAGCTCTGCTTCTGGCCAGCAGCTTCCAAACCTTGCCAGAAAATAGCTCTAACTAATTGCTATAATTATTACCATAATTCATCAGAATCACGCAGGCTGCTGTGGAGTTCCAGGACCCCCTTCCTCAGCTGAGGTAACCTCTCCGGCAATCCAGATTTTTTAAAACGCTGCTCTGAACTGCTGAGAAGCCGCTGGTTTGGTCATTTCAAAGGGACCAGCCCAAGCAGCCCGTGCCCTCAGTGCTTCCTGAATCCTTGCGCTGGCTCTTCCCAGAAGTGCCCAGCCTCCCAAGGCCGCCAGCAGGACCCTCCACACTACGCAGCAACAGAACAGACGTAATGGTCACCAGAACTGCATTCTCCCAAAACTCTTATGCTCAAGTGCTAACTCCCAGAACCTTAGAATACAGCTGCATTTGAGGCAGGGTCTTTAGAAATATGACTGAATTAAAATGAGTCAATTAGGGTGGGCCCTAGCCCAACAAGACTGGTGCCCTTGGAAAGAGAGATGATTAGGACACAGATACAGAGAGGGAAGAACATTCATGTTCACCCAGGAGGAAGGGGACCACCTGCAAGCCAAAGAGAAAGACTGCAGGAGACATCAACCCTGCCAGACCTTGACCTTGGCCTGGCAGCCTCCAGAACTGTGGAACCACAGATGTCTATGTTACTTAAGCCACCTTCCAATCTGTGCTACTCAGTTACAGCAGCTCAAGCAAAGTGAGAGCTATGACCATTTTCCCCTGCTCAGTCAGGCCCGGCTCTGCAGCCCTCCCTAACCTGGACAGCCACCCGCACCAACAGCAGTGAAAAACTGTCCCATGCCGCATTGTTTTACTTAAAACTTGCAGCACCTTGCGGGAAGAGGGATTGCTGTCAGCCCCATTTTATAGACAAGAACCCTGAGTCTCTCAGCAGCTAAGGAACTAGCAAGAGATCAGTCCCGCCACACAGGGAAGGACCTGGTGCACCCACCTCTAAGCCCAATGTCGTTAGCTACTATATACATACATATGACTACAGAAAGGGTTTACGACGTAAGCTTACAAATGTTGCCTGCAGACCCAGCGGCAGAAGGATGCCAAATGGCCGTCTGCGACTTGGAGAGCTGAAGGATCCAGTTGGCGGAAGGCATGGAGCCCACTGCAGAGCCTGGTGCGAGTCCGTATTTGAAAGCCGAAGGGTCTACACTGGAAGGCTGAAGGGCCTCTTCTGGAAACATAGAGAAACCTCCAAAGGCCATGGTGAAGACCAGAGCTCCTCCGCAGAAGCAAAGGGAAGGCTTCATCCTCTCCTTCTTATACTATCCAGGCTACAAGCCTATTGGTTGACGCCATCCACACCCCAGGTAGGTCGTCCCTCCTCAGTTTGTGACCTACCTGTCAATCATTCACAGACACAACCAGAACTGACTGTGCTCCAATAATCTGCTAGGCATTTCGTCCTGTTTTGTTTTAGAGACAGAGTCTCACTATGTAGTTCAATATGGCTTTGAACTCACTATGTAACCCAGGATAGCCTGAAACTCACAGCAATCCTCCTGTTTCAGCCTCCTGGGTGCTGGGATGACAGGTGTGTGTCATCACACCTGGCTATGCTAAGCATGTCTTAATCCATTCAAATTAACATATCATAATTAATGCTCACAATCCACCCCTTGTCAACTTGACAATCAGACATATCTCCTTAAACCACATTTAGTCTCCAAATAAAATAGCAAGTTCATAACTACACCTAACATGATACAACTGTCTTGCATACAAACAGAAACATACTAATTCCCTCTCCAGAAGAGAAAGCAGAGTTTTTATTTGGGTGGGATGCTTACTCTTCTAATATTTTATAGCTTAAGCATTACAATACAGATTTTAAAACTTAAGAGCTGATATTAAATCTATCAATATTATGTTACAAAGAAAACAAAGATACCTGCTTAGGAAAGAAATACTCATGACAATTACAATCCTCCTTCCTGAAACTGGTCACATGGTCACAGCTGACATTTAACTACCTTCTTCTACTACCAGAGGCATCAGCTAATAGGCTTTCCTGGAGGAAAGCCTGCTTCTTTGGAGGAGCTCCAGTCTTCACTCTTGCCTTTGGACATATGTCTCCATTTCCTTCAGGATTCCAAGCTCTTCAGCCTTCCAACACAGACAGACCCTTTGGCTTTTCAATGCAGAATCACTGAGTCCAAGGGCAGCCAATGTAAGCCTGCCTAGTTAATGCTTTATATAAGCATAAACTTTTTATATGAAATCTGTTCCTCTAGTGAGCCCTAATGGACACAGATTTTGGTACCAGGAGTAGGGTTGTTGCTGAGACACTGTCTAACCATGTGGTTCAGAAACCTTTGGAACTGTTTCATGGGAGGAGTTTGGAAAGGTTCAGAGATGCTGGGTATAGAGAAGCAGCCCTAGAATGCTGGAGCTTGATGTGCCAAACTGATCAGAGCTCGGAAGACCAGAATGCTGACAAAAAGACAGAAGGTACAGACCAGACTCACGAGGTTTCAACTGGTTACAAGGATTCCACCGGCAGTTGAACTCCAAAACACGTGTTATGCTCCAGAAAAAAACTAGTCTACACTTTGTTCATGCCCTGAGACTGTGAGAGACTAAGAGCAGTGGACTATTTAACCTGGTGGAGGAAATCTCAAGGCAGCCCAATATTGGGACTATAGCATGGATACTTTTGGGGGCTTTTAGCTAGGTTTGTACTGAGAATCAAGAGTGAAAAGCCCAGTTTAAGAAATTTCAGTTTTGCCAGAAAGAAATCACCTATAAAGATGGGGTGAGGGCAAAAAAAAGAGTGTAGGAGGAAAAAAATATAAACAAAGCTTTTGTAAATAAGGAGGGAAAGAGGGGTTGAAGGAGGGAAGGGGAGGGGAATGGGAACAAAAGCAGCAAGATATATCATGTACAGGTACGAATTCCCTATGATGAATGTTATCACCATGTATATCTAAAATGTATCAATAAAATTTAAAAAGATGGAGAAGGAAGAGGAGAAAAAAAAGAAGATGAGGAGGGAGAAGATGAAGAGAAGGAGGAGGAGGAAGATAGCTCCTGTCTCATTTCAGTGCCAGGGCCAAAGCC